TGTGTGTGTGTGTGTGTGTGTGTGTGTGTGTGTGTGTGTGAGTGTGAGAGAGTGTATGAGAGTGTAAGAGAGAGTGAGTTTGTGTGAGAGTGTGTGTGTGAGGGTGTGTGAGAGAGAGAGTGTAAGAGTGTGTGTGTGTGTGTGTGAGAGTGTGTGAGAGAGAGAGTGTAAGAGTGTGTGTGTGTGAGTGTGTGAGAGTGTGTGTGTGAGTGTATGAGAGAGAGTGTGAGAGAGAGTGTATGAGTGTGTGTGTGTGTGTGAGAGTGTGTGAGAGAGAGAGTGTAAGAGTGTGTGTGTGTGAGTGTGTGAGAGTGTGTGTGTGAGTGTATGAGAGAGAGTGTGAGAGAGAGTGTATGAGTGTGTGTGTGTGTGTGAGAGTGTGTGAGAGAGAGAGTGTAAGAGTGTGTGTGTGTGAGTGTGTGAGAGTGTGTGTGTGAGTGTATGAGAGAGAGTGTGAGAGAGAGTGTATGAGTGTGTGTGTGTGTGTGAGAGTGTGTGAGAGAGAGAGTGTAAGAGTGTGTGTGTGTGAGTGTGAGAGAGTGTAAGAGTGTGTGTGTGTGTGTGTGTGTGAGTGTATGAGAGTGTGTGTGAGAGAGAGTGTATGAGTGTGTGTGTGTGAGAGTGTGTGAGAGAGAGTGTATGAGTGTGTGTGTGTGTGTGTGTGAGAGTGTGTGAGAGAGTGTAAGAGTGTGTGTGTGAGTATGAGAGTGTGTAAGAGAGAGTGAGTGTATGAGAGTGTGTGTGTGAGTGTATGAGAGTGTGTAAGAGAGAATGAGTGTATGAGAGTGTGAGAGAGAGAGTGTAAGAGTGTGTGTGTGAGTGTATGAATGAGAGTGTGTAATAGAGAGTGAGTTTGTGTGACAGTGTGAGAGAGTGTAAGAGTGTGTGTGAGTGTGTAAGAGAGAGTGAGTGTATGAGAGTGTGTGTGTGTGAGTGTATGAGAGTGTGTAAGAGAGAGTGAGTGTATGAGAGGGTGTGTGTGAGAGTGTGTGAGAGAGAGAGTGTAAGAGTGTGTGTGTGTGTGTAAGAGTGTGTAATAGAGAGGGAGTTTGTGTGAGAGAGAGTG